TTCTCTTCTGTAAAATGAGGGGCTGGATTTGTGTAAAATGAGGGATTTACCCTGTTAGCAAAGGGAAGCTCTCCGCACCTTCTGTACCTGCCCCTCCTCATCCCTTCCTGGCATACTTCCAACTTTGAGAAGCGTGCTCTGTACTGGCCAAATTCTAGGACATTACATTGGTTCAGAATTTCACCCAGGTGCAGGGGCTCACGCCTGTAATCCCAACACTTTGGGAGGCTGAGGTGGGAGGATTGCTTGAGCCCAGGAGTTCGAGACTAGTCTGGGCAATATCGTGAGACCCTGTCTCTCTCTCTCTCTCTCTCTCTCTCAAGAAATTCAGGGGCTGAAGACTTTTTCACTGGTAAACCAAAGGGGTTTAAGATCAATGCTCAATTTGGGGTGATATCTCTCTCTTTCTTGGGCCTAGAGGCGAGACCTCCCATGTAGAAAGGGGTCCCTCCCACACTCTGCCCCTATTCCATACTTTGTGTCCAGCAGGGACTAGAGTGAGGCCTTGGGGAAAGGAGGCCACTTAGACGGTTGCTTAGCGAAGCAGATTCTCTGTGTGGTCTGGCCTGACTCAGACAAAGGGCAAAGCCTCAGCGGATCCCTGCTCTGTACCCCGTGGCAGACAAAGTATTCGTGTGTTCAAGGCCTCTCTGGCTTAGTAACGCCTTAACCCCTGCTTCTCCCCCACTCTCTCCTCTACCCACAAGTAACTAGCACAGAGGAAGGCACTCAGTAAATATGCTCTGATTGACAGAGTGTGGCAGAGAAAAATGTTTGTGCTCCTTAAAGAGGAGCACACACATTTAAGCAAGGGTACCAGTTCAGTTGTATGATTGTTTGTTCTTAAGCAGAACAAGGGCAGGACATCAGGAAATTGAAGGAGTGGTCTGTATTTTTGTAAAAGGATATATATTATTTTTTGCCTTACAACTCAGCTTCTCTAAGGAATATGATGGCTCTATTTTGAAAGTAATGTCTAGTCATATGGACTTGCTGGAGTGCAAAATATGTCCTTGGTGGGGGGACAGTTTCCCCAAGTGCTACTAAAAGGAGAGGAAGGATCCTGGATCCTCCTGTAATGTGTCTCTGTTCAAATCAATGCCACTGAGGAATGTTAAAACCTTGGTAGGTGCCCTTCAGACCACAGGCCGGGTACATGACCAAATGGTTCCATCTCTCTTATCAGAACAGGGATCGACTAAATTGGAGTGTCACATGCGTTCCGTAACACCAGAGTTATTATGGAGCTCAGCCAAATTTGTGGGAAAATGCAGGGGGGCTTTACCTGCATCTGCAAAAAGTTGGCTGCATGGAAATAACCTTTCTGTAAGGTGTTTTCCTGACTCAGGCATGTCTCAAACTGGCCAATGTGTCTTGAGGCCCTGGGCAAGCATCCAAGTACCACCTTCCTGAATTGCTACTAGAGGAAAAGGAGCCTGTTTCAGCTTTCTATACTTCTTTAAACGTTACTTTGATTAGACAGGAGATAGCAGTCTGTTTAGTAATAGTACTATTATAACTCTGCCGTGGTTATATTTTTAAGTTATACTTTCTCGTTCCTTTGCCAAGAGCAAATGAAAACACAAATTTGCACTGCAGATCCAACTGAAGCTGTGCAAAAGTTTCCCAGATATGTTTGAAAAAGCATTCTAGGCCAACTTTTGGCCAAAGAGGAAGTCTTCCCCCACCCTTATGTCAGGGGTCCATGCTTTAAAAAAAATACGAACTCCTTTTAAAAATAAAATGAGTTTTATTGCTATAAAAGTAATGCATTTTGTTGTTTATACAAATATTACTTGGAAAATACATAAAAGTACAAAGAAAAAAACAAGTACAAAAAATCACCTATAATTTTATACTATAATAATGTTACAAGTTTTGGTATAGTTCTTCCTAGACTTTCTCCATATATTGATACAAAACTATGGATGCAAAATGATCCCAATACACTTATATTATATATTCAGGAACAGATTGCAAAAATAATTCTGCATCTTATGTTTATCACAGAAGTAAACCACAAACAGCCACTGTTAGATTTTTGGTTTATTCTCTCCATCTTCTTGTCTGTATATTGATACAAAACTATGCATGCAAAATGTCCCCAATACATTTATAGTACATATTAGGAACACATCGCAAAAACAGTTTAGTATCTTTTTTGATTCCCTATAGTGACACAAGTCAGCGATAACCACCTCTAGACTTTTGGTATATTTCCTGATAACATTTTTTCCCCACATTATTGATACAAAACTATGATTGCAAAATGTCCCCAATACATTTATATTACATATTAGGAACACATCGCAAAAATAGTTCAGCATCTTTCCTTGGTCACTTTTATACCACAACTCAGAGATAATCACAGTAAAGTTTTTATATGTTTCCTCCTAGCCTTTTGTCTGTATGTTGATACAAAACTATTCAAGCAGAATGCTCTCTATGTACCTATATTGCAGAGATGGGAAAATAGCTTTTTTTCAGTCACTAAATGTTTTATCAGGAGCACATTCTCCTGACACGAAAATAACTTTCAGAAACATTATTTTACATGAAAGCATCCTATTCTATTGTGCTAGCTACACTATATTTTATTTGTCCAATCCTTTGTTGGTGGTCATTCAGGATGTTCCTAACTTCCATCCTTAAAAATATTGAAATGAGCACCTTTATGCATTTTTTTTTTTACGGGGGCTTTCTATTCATGTCATCTGTATGGTTTTTCTTGACCACTTGTGTGGACTCAACATATTAGAAATGACCCTGTGTCTGTAAGGCTTATAGCAAAGTGTTTTCCAATTGTCATTTGCTTGAGCATAAGTTCTTTAACATTCTAGCAAAACTATAAAATTATATACCCTATGTAAGCTTCAATTCATTCAACAGACATTTAAAGCAATAAAGACACAAATAGTTAAAGACATTCCCATTACACTCCTATGAAAACACAACTCATCCCTCCAATCCCACAGCAACCCCTTTCTTCTTTGCTTAGGGCCCACTTTGCTCCTAATCTTTTTATTGGTTCGTCTTGTAATACTTACCATGTGTTTTGTTATGAAGACAAGTGGCTCCCAGACCTTTCAGTTATCAATCTGTCACAAGTGCACAGTGATATCTCGTGACACGATGATCCCCGAGATGTCTGAGGTCTGTGCATCCTTGTCCGATCCCAAATTTCTGTATCACCCATGACCTCTAAAGACTTTTTAGAGATTTATATTTTGACAACGTAACAAGAAAACATGGCATCACACAGAAACATGCACACACACAAAAAAACATGAAAAAGTAGAGAAAGAAGAAACTTTAGCTCTAATCCCACCACGCTTAAGTAACAAGTATGTCTGTTTTGCACATTTCCTCCAGGTTCTGCTCCTACTTGTCAATCATGGGGTCCATGTGATTTTGTTGCCCTGATTTTTTTAAAGTTGATATCATAAGCATTTTCCAGATTTCTGAGTAGTCTCTATCATTGTTGTTTGTAATGGCTGAAAAGGTTCCATTGAATGAGTGACTAGATTAAGTTAACCCCTATAGCTGGACACTTCATTTGTTTCCTTAAGATTAATTTGATTGAATCTACAGAAAATAACACATATGGGACAGAGGTTTTACATGAATTTAAATCATGCTTTTTTGGTTTGGGCAGATTGACTTGTACAGGGCTGGGTAACTTATAGTCACTGTTTAGTAATCCTGGGGCCAATCTTGGGCCTCACCCAGGAAGGGTCCAGTGTATAGGTCAAAGCTCATCCTAAGACTAGTCAGTTTCACCTGGAATTTTTGTAACCAAACACATTCCTGCTTGGGTCACTGCGACATAGTTGGTTCTGATAAACAGGTAATGACATAAAGAACATAGCATGAGGCCTGGAGGAAGAGGCCCCAGAGAGTAACTAGCCTCAGGCAAATCCTTAACCTCCAGAGGCCCCCGTTTTCTTGTCTGTAATTACTTTTTGGATTGCCTTAACTCTGTCTTTCAAGGTTGTCACAATTTTTTTTAAAAAATTCAAGTATTTGGAAAAGTACGTAAATGCATGTACAAAGGCAGGATGTTGGGATTCCGATGATTCTGTGGCCACGCCTTTAGAAGGTCTGGTCTTAGGGTAATAGTCTCGTCTGGGTGGCAGACATGCGGGAACAGGTGAGGGAGCTGCCTTGGGAGACTTAGACTTCAAAGCAACCAAGACTCTGACTCTCAGGTTGCTGCAGTGTTCTGAGCTCCCTGACTCCAGCAGTGGAGCCAAGGCCATGTTTCCAAACTCCCACCAATTGCTCAGATTATGGAACTCAGTAGTGGAAGGGGGAGTGCTCAAAGGCCCTCGCAACCATAGGAAGTAGATGCCTTCAGGGGTCCTCCCTCTTGGCTCAATTTACTATTCCCACAGGGGGTTTAAGCCTGGCTGAACTTGCCAAAGAGATCAGCAGTGGAGCTGGGGAGGGGGAAACGGTGGCAGATAGATGAAATATTATGAAAGAGCTAGCCAATCATTGTTCCTTCACTGAGCAGTAACTAATGGGTGGGCCTGAGTGAGATGTAGGTGGCAGGGAGATACACGTTTTCTACACTTGATGTATATATACTCTTTTTCACTTAAGAGTCATATAATAACTCTAAATACAAATGCATATATAAAGTTCTAGGGTTATGAGAATAAGTCATACTGCAGGCCAATGGGAAAAAAGATCTCTAAAAATGTATGCCAACTTGCAGATAGCCCCTGACTCAAGTCTTTTCATTTCTATTGAAAAATTCATTGATCTTCCCGAAACATTTTAGGAACCTAGTTTTATTTTCATCTTGCACAGTCTCAGGAAAGCTGCCTATAAGTTAGCTCCCATCTCACAGGCTCAGGTTTTCTGCAAATGTTACGTGAGCTTTATAGTAGTCCAGGATTCAGGAAATGAACCCAGTCCCCTGCTGCCCCATCTACCTTGATGAGTTGATAGGTATGGTGTTTAAAAACAATCAGCAAAACAATTTGCACTGCAGAGTCCTTAGGAGTTTTTTTTAATTGGACGGTTGCCCATATTAACGAAAATCAAAAGTAGCATACAGTCATTCAATGTCCCAGCACGGGGGTACAGCCCACTGTTTTCCTGTGTGGGGTTCCACTTTAGTCCTTTTCTGTGTGCATGCATAAATTTTTACAGAGTTGCAACCACTGCCTTTTTCTGTGGCCCTGGTTATTGGCATCTAGTTTTCCAAGTAACATTGACACACATCTGTTCAAATCAATTGACGTTCCCATCATGACTGACTCATTTGGCGGGAAAACCAAGTTTACATGCCAATTGGAACAAAGAAGTGTGGGTATGGGGAACAGTGGGGAGAAAGAAATGGTGGGAGAGGATTCCTTGGACTTACAGATCATAAAACATTTTCCAATAACATTTTTAAAGGATGTATAATATTACACTGAGTGATTGATTATATTTTACCCTTCTATTTGGGACACTTGGGTGGTTTTCAATGCCTAGAGAGTTTTAAAATGCATATAAATTACAGCCTTTGAGAGATGATTGTATTTTCTTGAAACAGAAGTCTTCTGTGTCCACATCCCCGCCAAGAGTGTTGATGTAGTGTTCCTTTGTTGGGAAAAAAAAAGAAAAAAATCAGTACTGCTAACTGGAGATGCTGGATGCCTTCAAAAAAACATTCCTGTGATTTAAATTTTTTAAAAATTATGTTCAGTTCTGGTTTATCAAAGCAACCTATGTATCTTGTCTTACAACTTACAGAAATGTGGAATTTTAGATTTAGAGTTAAAACTAAGCTCTTCCTAGTTTAAGAGCCACGTCTGTCTAATAAACTTTATACAATGCCACGTGCACACAGCTGCCTCACTAACAGATAACATGTGTTGGGGAAAAAATGAGAAAACAGTGGAAAGGTGCCTCCTTGGAGGTGGTAACATCAGGTCAATTAATCAGTAGACTATAAATTGATTCACTTTACACAAGTCTCCCACACATTATGATGCATATTTAGCAATGTTGAAAAACAATTTAAAAGAATACCTTAGGGAGTTGTTAAAGAGAATTTATAGTCTGGAACGAATTGCCATCTTCTTAATTGACACGGAAATGTTTGGCTAAAATATCGCTTTATTCACATTTTTGTCCTTGGAGAAAATCTAGGCACACTGCAACTTGGACCGTGTAAATAAAGGTGCAAGGAATGTTTCAAGTCAGAAAAGGGCACTGCACAGTCAGGGGGCTGTGTGGACAAGCTCAATTTCGATGCATCTCGGAGACTCAGGCAAAGGGCCTCTTGGATTCCAGAAGGCAACGCCCGCAAGTCAGGATCCCTTGCTCGCTGCCCTCTGTCCCTCACGTCCCCAACCGCTCCCGTGTCTCACCTGGGTCCTGCAGGCGCCCGCTGGAGGAAGCCGGATGGTGCGGGCTTAGTCCTTCGGGAAGGCTGGCTGGCACCGGGCTTCCTTCTGACTCCAGGGGGAAGCCTACAGAACGGGGAGAAAGGGGTAAGCTAGTGAGGCAGAAGGGGCGTCACGAGGTGGCTCCCCCACCCCCAAGTGCAAAAGCAGGCGGATGTGGGGACCTGTTTGCCGTTTGGGCCTGGGGATCTTGGGCCTGAGGGGCCCTGCGCTGGCCGATTGGAGTGGGGAAGGAGCAAAGTGGGGGCTTCTAGGCCTGGGAGGCGCCACTGGGTTGGGTGGGTTGGTCCTGCTCCGTGAGCCTGAGGGTTCCGGCAGGCCAGGAGGGACCCAAGCAGCCCCCACGCACTGCCCCAGCGCAAAGGAGTCTGGAAGAGCCAGCGTCTTGGGCCGAAGAACCCAACTCCCAGCTCTGGACTCAGGAACCCCGCCCCCTCAATCCCCCAAACTGGGAAACTTCTAGGGGCCCACTCCCGCCCCGGAAAGCCCAGTTCCAGCTAGCCCATTAAGACCAGAGGGGTTTCGGTGTGTGTTTTGGTTGCGTTTTTTTAAAGGGGACAAAGTGTGGGAACGATTCCACGCCTGCCTCCCCACGCCCGCCAATGATGCTTTACCTGCCCATGCTTCAGATCAAATAATTAACTCAAGTGATTTGCACAGAAAAAGAGAATTAGCCCTTTTCTAGTCAGGCTGTCAAGCTCCCAGGCAGGCACTGCGGAAACCCATTTCCTCACCGAAGGCTCAGGGGGCCAGCCCAGTGAGGGATGGAGGTGGTTTTAGAGGACGACAGCTGGGCAGCACTCACGAGCAACAGCGCCCAGGAGTTTTGGAGTCAGGAAGGCTCAGGTCCCTGCCCTGGGGCTACAAAGGAGATTTGGTGGGCGGGGAACGCCTCCAGGGTGGAATTGTGGTAGATCTTTGGGAAAGGAGGGCGAAAAGAAGCTAGAAACGCTGATCCCCTCAAGGCCCCCACACTTCTCAGCAGCCTTGGGCTCAGATCGGGCAGGTTGGCGCCTTCCACGCTGTCTTGCGTTCACCCGCCCGCAAGGCCTCGCGCCTCACCGGATCCTTCTAGGGTGCTGGAGCTCCACGGAGCCCCCCAACCCAGCAGCGGGGAAGGGAGGGCGCGAGTGTGAGGAAAAGGCCCGTTACTTTGATCTTTCCTGAACTCTTAAGTTCCTTCCACATTCAGGACAGGAGCGCGTTTACCAGGAACCGCAGAGATGTGAAGACTTCTTGTAGCTGTGCACCCTTCCTCTCCCCTTACTCCTTTTCCAGTTCCCCCCGCCCCCCACCATTTCGTGGTTGGGGACTGAAAATGGGTTTTTTTCGTCCTCCTGTGGGTGGTATTCTGATTGGGATTTTTTCCAATTGTTTAATTCTCCCTCGTTTGATGGAATCTTGGGTCTTGCTGCTCCTGGGGCGGACGCCGCAGGCGGTGGCCTAAGACTTACCTGTTGGGTAGGCCCGTAAGGCAGTCCCAGACTTACTCTGGCAGCGGAAACAATACTCCAGAGTATTGATAGCTAACTGCAGAACTGTTTTCGCTGCTAGAGCACGGCTGAGCACGGGCACGGCATCCCTACTCAGCTCCCACTGCCTACGGGCGCGTCCCTGGCCGGCCGCCCCCAACCTGGCCGGGAATACTGCCCTCCCCCGACTACCGCCCTGTCGCGTGGACTAGGAAGGGCCAGGACCCGCCAGAAAGACGCAAACCCCCACCCACCTACCTGCTTCTGAGCCGGCGTAGCGGGGAGCGGGCACCTGGTGGCAGGAACACGGTCCGGCAGATCCCACCTTCTTCCTTCCCCACGAGGGGGTATAGCAGCGCTTCACGTTTTGAACCATTTAGAGCACTTCAAAACATGAATTGCTGCTGTATCCCCTTGGAGTCAACGAAGGGGGATGGACCGGGGTACCTGCGGGTGAAGAAAGACTGGATGACTGGAGGAAGCCCCGCCCCGCCCCATGCTGCCCTTGGCAAGGAATAGAGCAACACTTAATGACTAGGCCACCTCACTCCAAGTTGAGATACTTTTTATAACTTCACCATTTGATTTCCAGGAGCTGCAGGTGGAGCCGAAGTTGTGGCTCTCAATTTTTTTCCCCTGAGGATGAATCTTGGAAAAACGTAGTGGTGAAAAGAAGAGCGATGGGAGATAGGAATTAGTGTGTAAGAGAATCTAATTACTTTGAAAGTAGATGAATAACATTAAGTAGAG